TATGTATTTATTTTTATTTTTTTCCTCCGTGTCAGCGTATGAATAAACAAACGGAAAAACGATGGTACGCTGCAAACTAGGATGAAATCAATTTTAGCACGTAAAAACTAATATTCCAGTGAAAAAAAAAACTCAACTTAACTTACTTAACTTTTATTTACTAATAATAAAAAAAATATATGGTAAATTTACTTTATAAACTTCAACTACTACAATTTAGACCGTAGTAATATATTACTACTTATTTAATTATTTATTAATATATTTATTATTTAGTCTATTAATTTACATTCCAAAATAAAACCTAACACTTACTCTGCCGAAACAAGGCATAGTGCTCTTTGTATTATCAAAAGACTTTTTAATCTGCCCTGTATATAGTTGACGTAGATGATTTCTAATGCATCGGCAAGCTCTCTTTTTGCACGTTTATAAAATTTAAAATTTTATAGCATATTTCATTTCTGGCATATAGTACCTACATACATTTCCTAATAATGTGGATTTAAGTTGTTTACTTCGAATGGAATATTTCGAAAAAACATTTCTTTGATCTTCCTACATTATTATAGACTTTACAATAAGTATCTGACCAAGTATGTCCTCCATATGTCATTTTTCAAATATCGAAGATATACATATATTCCTTAATTTTCAATGAACTACTTAAGCTGTAGGAGAATTTTTTTTTCTTATATTTTCAAATAATTGCATGTATAAATATTGAATGTTCTGAAGTTAGGAACTTCAATCTATCATAGAAAACAATTAATTTAAATTATATCGGGTGAGGTCGGTTGACTAAAAATATAAAAAAATATCATACTAAAACAGTAATAAATTTCAAATCAACAGCTTTTACTTGTACGGCGAATATCAAAAAACGATAACTAAGTGTTACTTAAAATCGTTAAGCTACTATTCGATGTTGATTGCGCGGCATGTGCTATGACATTTGAATTGCAATTAGTGATGAGCATTTTTTTGTGTATTTATTGTGAAAGAACACGCAAAGACACCTCGTCACTCCGGCACTCGTCGACGGCTCATAGCGCCGCAATAGGTGAGTTGATCCCCGAAACTAATTCTATGTACTAATTGATTCCCGGGCCGTTATTAGGTGTGTACGAGTTGATTCCCGGTTCATTAAGAGGTACGTACGAGTTGTGATTTCCTATTGTTGTATATCAATTATCAATAGATTGCACGAGTAAAGAGTTTACGACCGT